TGAACTTACCAGGAGAAGAGGTGGAGACAATTTTTTACTAGAAGTCCTTGAAACCTCCCCTTCTCTTATTCCAGCTTATGACAACTTCTTGGGATAACAAAGCCATTGAATAACCTGCCATTGTTCTCCTTGGACGGATGATGAGTGATGGCAGGAAGGAAGGAGACAGAGAAAGGTGTGAGCAAAAGCAGTAGGGAAATTCTTGAACCAGTGAGTAATTCCTTAAGGGAGGAGTCCCTCATTTTGTTTGTGCTTGAGTATTGCTTATATGTATTAGCAATCTCTTGAGTGAGAAATGACTCTGTCATTGCAGTCCATTCATTGCAGTGTAAATGTAAGCTTGCTGAACTTAGTACTTCATCTCTTAGTTAGGATTTGCTCTAATCTGTCTACAGAGCACCTGGCTCTCAAAACAAGGGAGTTTCAGATATTTTAAGAACTGTTTTTTTTTTATCAAGCAAGGAAGTTTGAGAAATACACAGGCAGCAAGCCTTCCCACAGACTAGAGTAGGCTGCTTCATATCAGAGACTGCATTTCCTATTCTGTTTCTGTGCCAGAAATTCTCTTGCCAGAAACTGTCATTTGAGCTTTTATCTGCTTTTGAAGGGAAGGAAGTTAACCATCCCAGTAACACTGCCATCACTGCAACAAAAAATCTGCAGACAGTGGAAGGCTATGGAAAACTGGTAATTGCATACAAATGTATGATTTCCCCAGACCATGATAAACAGTGATAAAATTGCCAGCTCCATTTTACAGTGGGGAGTTCCTTAAGTAGAGATCCATCTTTAATATTCAACTCATCTGGGGACAAGTCGGAACTGAAAGGGTAGCAGTTCCTTTTTATCATGTCTGTTACTACTTTTGCTATATTGCTACATGTAGAATTAGCTTTTACAACCATTGTAAAGAAAATCACTGAGATTATTTTTCTGTTATTGGATCAGCCTTTTCTGGAGAGCGCACAGGCACAAGTCATGATTTTCAAGAGTTTAAAAAAAACTCAGCATACTTAAAATTTTCAGCTGTTTGGTTATAAGACTCAAAGCTCTGTCCTATTTAATCCAGATACATATACACAAACCATAGGGCTTCAGTGGGAAAGCCCTGACATATATATGCGTGGATAATTTGACCTAGAGTGCTTTTTAACACTGCAAACAACCTGTAAGATTAAACATGGGTGAGATTGAGCCTGTTTTTTATAGCTTGTAATATAATAATTCTGATAATTGTAACATAATATTTCTGGGTGCTGAGATCTTTATGCTGTGGGAAAGTTGTGTGGTTATAGAGAGCATTTGCAGTGTAAGTGTGCCTGAGAGAGCTCCAGGGAAGATCTCGCAGCGTTGTTTGCTGCTAGTCACGTCGAGTTACGACTGTGCCGTGTGGCAGAATTCCAGGTTGCGGCTCACTCGGATGGATTTATTCTTCAGAGCAGTGATTCTCTAGGGAAGAGAATATCCAGGATCTGGATTTGGTCTCTTACATTTTTGCTAAACTCACCTCAGAGTAACAGCCAATACTTTACAGACTTTCTGCAGTTACAATTGCATAATGTGCTATCATGCTGAGAGGCGGTCTGTGAGTGCTAGCAGAAGCAGTTTCACAGGTGAGGAAAAAAGTAAAAAGCATATCTGAGGGGACTATGCCAGGGGATCAAAGTAGTATTTGATGCATTAACTTTTAAAAAATAAATTAACGTCTGTAAGATATTAATAACTGCATGGCGCGGTGACTACAACACTTAGTATCGCAGCCAGATGTGAAAGTGCTGAGCACCTGCCCAGCAGCCTCTGTGATGTTCGTGCCATTCGTGGTGGGGACAGCAGTGGTGGTGTGGGATGTGCAAACCAAGCAAACTGTGCAGGGGCAAGCACAGGCTTTGTGACGGAGCTGAGGCGCTGGAGCACGGGAGGACCAGCAGTGAGCTGCTGAGGCAGGGCAGCTCTCCTCTCTGGTGTACAGAGAGCAAATGATCAAAGGTGCCGCTCCACCTGCATTCTTTATTATCTGAGTGCGCTTGTTCCTATTGAACATATTCCTGAAGGCACCGATCACTGGTGCTTTTCACCCCAGTATGCTCTCCCTGATTCACTGGATTTTTGCTCACATGTATATGCAAAGCACTCCAAAACAGTCTTAAGCAGAAAAATCCTGTGCAGAAAGGATTTTATTAAAAAAAAAAAAAAAAAAAAATAAGGGGGGGGGGGGTGGCTTCATGCTCCAGGGGAGACTAGAGAATCTCCTAGGATTAGTGAGTAGCTGGGAGGAGCTGATAGCCTCAGGCATAGCCAAGGGCCATTAATTTCCATGTAATGCCCAGTGCTGTTGCTATAGTTCCTCTTACAACACAGAAATAGAAAGCTTGCTGACCTCTGGGTTTTGATCCGTGATATTATTTTTGTGATGACTGCTTATGCTTCTAAGTGCTCATCACTGTAGTGTTTGACAGAATTTTAGTTTATGAACTTGATGCGTTTCAGAGTTAAGGCATTGCCTGTTACCTACACATAAGTCTGAAATAGGTTATTGGCACTCCACTCTTCCAGCATTTGTACACATCTTGCCAACATTGCAGTCAATGTTAGGTATGGGTGGTATGAAAAATCGTTTATCTCTAAATTAGTATACATATCTTTATACATAGAGAAAATGACAATTGAAGGTGTGGCTCCTTTACTGTGTGGTTGTCATGTAGGGCAACATGAATTTTGTTACATGCGTTAATTAAAAAAAAAAATGCTCCTGAAATTTTTATTTATTTCAATACTCAAAGAAATGGTGATCAAGAAGAGACTAGTGAAATTGTTTGGAAGCAATGACCATCACATGCTCTTTACATGCATGGGCATGTACCTGGAAATATACAGTAAAAGTATTGCTGGGCACATCTTAAAATTCAGGAAAAAAAAAAGTTCAAATTGAAGAGACAGCCCCCATTTCCCAGCTTAAGAGATCATGTGAACACACATGACTTCCAAGCAGCACAGAGTTTAGCTAGCAAACAGCAACCCTAAGAAGATTTCTCAGAATGATTGACTTCAACCTCTGATAAAAATTCTAACTGTTTTTCCTCAAGAGGAGAGTTCTTTATCTTTTTTGAAGTGCTTCACTTTCAGGGACCCCAACGCATTTTACCGAGGCCAAGTTTAGGAGTGACGCGCGGATGGCAGAGGCAAAATGAGCAGAGTGTCGCTGTGATGGTTCTGCAGACGTTGGGCAGTGCGGAGCTGGCGCCGGGCGCCCCGGCCGCGCGCTCCGGAAGGCCCGAAAACAGCCCCGCGTAGCGGCCCCCAGCACAGGTGAGGTGACAAACGGGGCTCTGTGGGAACTGCGCTTACCCTGCCCTAAAAGGGGAAGGAGCAGCAGCCGCCCAGCTATCTGTAACTAGCACTTGTGGTAAAGACGGGGATTGTCTTGCTGAACTCTGAAATTCCAGCGCTGCCTTGATCCCAAGAAATGGGCATGGGTTGATTCAGGATAAATAACCACTTCCTACTGTTCTGTCTGTGCTTGTTATTTACCCAGCTGTGCGTTGTCTAGTTTATGAATTCAAAATCAATTGCACTATAGAGTGTTGGAGCATCGTAGAGCAAAAGGGTAGGTTTAGGATAGATGGTCTCTTGATATACTAAAAATAAGACTAAAATTCATATTTTTTTGCTGATCAAATTGTATTTAGAGTGTGTAAGTTGTAGTGTGGGAGAAAGTTGTTACATGGATTTTTTCATTCTTATGCAGAAAATTTCATTGACTCTTGTGTTTGTATCATGGACAGAAAGGGAAAAGAGCCTGGAGCTCTTTTCATTTTAAGAAATACTACTTGGAATTCTTTCTGATCCCATTATGATTGCCAATTATAACATTTCAGCACCTTTCCTTGAAAAGCAGGATTTCAAGGAAAACTGGTGGTTTTCAAATGCTTTAGGTCCTTTCTTTTCCTTCCTCTGTCTTTCTTTGCTGTTACAGTTTGGCTTGTGCAGGAGGAGGAGGAAGAGGATGTAACCTTCTCTTGCCATCCTCCTATCCTCCTTTTTCTCTTTCTCAGAATAAATTCTATAATGCTTCTAGAATGATAGAAAATGAGTGGTGGGAGGGAAAAAGGTAGAAGGAAGTGAGAATTGGAGGAAATCTTTGCCCTGTAAACTATTGTCACCCATTTGACAATCACTGTACTAAATTAGATCATTTTAGTGCATAATGAATATTTCCTCTTCCATGACTGGGACTTGGCCAATGATGGCCATCATTAACTTCATCATGGCATCTTAACTTCATTTCTTTGAACAAAGAACTTGTAAAACCTGAAGAAGATAAATGATAACTCAGAAAACTGGTCTAATGGAGACTATATTTACCAGGTGAGTCAGGGGAACTATCTGAGGTCATTCTGATTTTTAACAAGGTATGGGTAAGGCTTCATCAAATCCTCATAATTGGCCTAAAAAGTCCTGCCGAAATCCACGTAGGATCCCCCTAGCTGACAAAGTGTATGCACGTTGCTGCAAGGTTTGTAGGGACACAGAGGATTGTGTTTTTTTTTCCAGAAAGTTTAAAGTAGTTTCCTTTGTTATGATTCCTTTTCTTAGCAGACCACCTGTCTCTGTTTTGATCTTCTATGGGACCTGAATGCCCCAATTTCTGTGTCAGAGACTGTTCTGTAGATGAGAGGCCCTGAAGGGAGGATGTGTGAAGCTTAGTGTGTACCTCATTCAGCAGAGACAAACTGAGGGCTGCAGTATGGGCACATAGAGGAATAGCTGCAAATCACTGGGCTAAACCTGCTCAAAGATAACTGTAACTTGCAGCTTCACACCAAAGTATCCCAGAGAGGGTCCAGCAGCCCTCACGTGCTGTTTCCGAAGGGGCACGTCACTGTAGTTTGGTCTTGGCTTTTTGTTATTTGAATGTATCTGGTTTGAGTTTCCTTTTTCTTTGAAAGGGTTTTTTCCAAATATTTTAAAACTTCCTTCCTGATGTTTGTCTATTTTTCCAGATTCCAAAATTAGATCAAGTCACGTTTCCTCATGGCTCCTTGCACCAGAGGTCCCATAGAGCTTTTGCAGGCCCTGGTCTGGAGGCGCCTGCTCCAGCGGGTGACCTGCACTGTCACGCACGCTGTCCCACAAGAACTGGGCAGTGGCAGACTTTGAAAGCTAATGCATGTCCTCTGTGCTGTCCAGGCCCCCTCAGCCTGTGAATTTTGAATTTTGCTTGATGTTGTTGAGTCTTATTTGATGAAGGCACTATTTAATCCTTGACTTGCCTGCTACTTTTCTCATTTGACATGTTAACTGTTGAGTCAAAAAAAGATATTTTAAGAATGGGCTTGTCAAAGACGATGTCTTCTCCCCTCAAAGACCTCTAAGGCTGAATATTTGATTAAAATGTGACTGTAGCATTAAAATGGGTGCCCTGTGTCCTTTTGCAAATGAATGACCAGTGAACTTGTGGACTGTCTAATTTTTAATTGGCAAATCATTCAGTGAATGTTTCTGGGGAAACTGCAAGGGAGGGTTAGGGGTTAGAGGTTTTTTTTTTTTTTTTTTTTTTTAAGATAATTTAGGAAATTGGTGCTTTTATTCCTAAAGGTAGCGTGAAGATGAATAAATACACAGATTCAATTTAAGTTTCCTTTCTGAAAATGAGGAAGAGGATATGTTCTAAGACTTGGGATGAAACCCCAAGCCCTGAGATGGGCAGCCCAGCATCAAAGCAGGATGTTGGCTTTGTGGCCATCGTAGCCGTGGCTTTGTGCATGAGCCAGGCAGCTGCTGCTTGGCTCTCTGCTCTGTTTGCCTGCTGCTTTCTTTGTGAGGTTGAATGCCTGTCCCTTTCACTGCTCTGATAGGTTGCAAGGACAGCTGGATCTTTAGATTTATAGAAAATGCTGGGACAGTCAGTACAGAAAGGGAGTATGATGAGTGGCTGATTTCTGAGCTACCTAATGCACAACTCTTAATAGTGTATCAGTCTACTGGAAAATACTGTAGCATGGGACATCATGAAAAGGAAAATGCATAACTTGGACCTGTTTGGATTAGCCGAAGTTCAAATTTTTTTATAACACTTTCACACTTTGTAAGGCGAATAGACCATCCCATTTCATGTGTATGGGTTTGGTGTTGGTACCCTTGCCTCTGTAAATAATATGTAACAACTAGAATAAATCATGAAGGGCTGCAGAAAGTCTCCCCGTGTCTGACTGGGTCAGTGTGCAGCTTCTGAAAAGGTATTTGACTCGTTTTCTTTCCTCAGTAGTTGGGAGCTATTAGCTTCTTTCTGGAAACAGAATAGCACAAAGTGTTGTAAAATAACAGACCAATACCTTAAGAAGTGCTGTTGCTTCCAAAGTAATCTTTTTTCCAAACCAGAAAGCTTTGATGCAAGTGTCATATTCAGGCAGTGTTGAGTGCCTAGATATTCTCTGCCCTTTGAGCAGACTAAGGAGTAGCCATGTGAGCTGGAGGCAGAGGGACTTGTTTTCATGCTCTATGAAGCTGCAAGACAGACGACTGCAAATGGTTACTAATCTGGGTATTCATGTGTATGCCGTGGGAGACAGCAAGGCATGTGTTGAATTCAGGGTGGGTAGGAGATTCAGCTGTTGTTCAGCTTCACCTTTCACTGAAAGAGAGACATTTTAATTAGAGGAAAGTTTTTATAAATAGGTCTTTAATCACCTTTATGCTACAGTAATACATTTTTCTCTTCTGGTTGATGCTGATGGAATTGCTTTAGTGAGACACTCTAGAATGTAGTATGGAGTATACGCAGTATATACGTGTACTTTTTTTCTCTTGGAAGACCATTAGAATGTTAAATGTAAGATATAAAAACAACTTATTTTACCATTTGAAAGCAAAACCAAGTGCTATGGACTCATAGTGGACTTTGGTTCCTTTTGCAAATGTCTGAATACGGATGGTTTTGTGCAGAAAAATGTGGCGGTTTCTTGTGGTAGCAAAGAGGTTGGGCACAGTACTACTGGCTCAAGATTTCTATTGCCTTTTCTGGCTATTCTTTAAGATTGCAGCCTGTTTTTCAGAAGTTCTTAAGTCAGCTGTGTTCACTGATCTTGCTCCTGGGGAAGATGCCATGCTGGGGACAGGGGCAGGAAGGGGCAGCAGCTGGTGGGGCATAGGCCACTGGTGCCCTGAATATTTGTTATTGTGAAGCCATAGCCTGAAGCGATGGGGCACAACTGAAGGGGTGAAACTGGATGTAATCTGGAATTGCACTAACTTTTTTCAAGGGAAACTGTAAGAAATAAGATTTTATAAATGGAATAACATCATACCCTGCCAATCAGTATCATCAGGGTATGCCACAATTTTAAACCAGGAGCATGGGTAATTAAATGCTGCTGAAAAATAAACTGCAAGAGACAGGGAAGAGAATTGCTAGAGGATGGTATTGAATAGCTAAATCAAGTTCTGACTCGGATTTCCTGACAAATACTTTAGATAGAAATATATCCTAGCATTTGAGAACTTTAGTGAAGTTGGTCTCTGTTAGGTGAAAGAGCATTCACAAAAATGTTTTGTTATTATTTTTATGTGTAGTTTCAAGATTTAAAACGAAGTAGATTGTTTTCTGCAGCTGTTACAACTTTTATATTTAGCATTAATGTCCCAGTGGGCTCATTCCAGGTGCATTCTTCTTAGGACTCCCTATATTTAACTTTGGTGCTACTAAAATCAGTAATTTCTATCACCTCTTAAAAAGACACTGAAGAGCTAGGAACCAGTTTTCCAGCTCTGCTGCAGGATGTGTTTGAAACTTACCCCAGGGTTGTCAAAGGATGGTGAGTTGTGGCTGCCCTGGCCCCCATGTGACAGTGTCCCAGGGCTCGGCAGACGGGCTGTGGCCGCTTCGGCCGGTCTGCTCCTCTGGACATTTCTTGGTTTGACCCCTGACTTGGTATTGAGACTTCTGCAATGGGACGTACTCCTCTTGAATATTTACAAATTGAACTCAGTATTTGTGTCCTCTCTTAATATGGCATGCAGCAGCAGCAGCAATAGCTCAGTGAAAATGTACTGAGAAGAAAATGCATATGGTAAATTAAATTATTGGTCTAGCTTAAATTTCTAGTCTGATGGTACGTGTGGAATTCTGGCAGGAGAGAGGCCTGGATGGAATATATAGTCCCAGTAATGCTACTGGACAGTGGTGTGTGTGGTGGCTTTTTTTTTTTTTCTCCTCCCAGTCATAATGGAACTGTAATTAAAATGCCTGCTTCTGTCTCACTAATGATCCTAGCCTTTCTCTGGGCAGAACACTACTGAGATGTATTTTATGATAATAAGCATTTCTCCAGCTTATTCTGAATGGGAGAAGGTTTCCCAGTTAGCCAGGAGGGCTTTGTCACTCCCTGTTCCCTTTGCACCCAAGCTCCCCATGACTGGAGCTTGCTTCCTTGCCCTGAGCCACCGCAGCTCCCTGGCAGCCAGTGCCAGATTTCCAGCCTGGAGCTGCCCTGAAGAGCTAGGGCAGAGGTTCAAATTAGGGCTGCTATTTCCAGAGACTGGCCCGGTGCTTAGCGCTTTGGAAAAGCTCTCTTATTTGGAAAAGCATTTTAATTCTGAATAAAACATTGGGTTGGCTCTTAGCTCATAAATGGCACTTTATTTCATGTCAATAAATATCAGTACTGACAAGTAACCGCATCATGTCTTGACCTTATGTAAGCACATGGCCAAGCTCCAAGTTGATTTTTAGCTATTTCCACAAGTCCTAGGACAAGTTGTGTAGGCATTTGATCCCTCATTAGATGGTACCTTTGCAGATCAGAACCATGAAAGAACCTGACCAATACCCCAGCTCCGTGTTTGCTTTCACAGGCACTGACAGCAGTTCAAGTTCTTTCCAGACTCTTATTGAAGAGTTTGCTGCCTCTGGTGCTGCATATAGGTAGACAGCTGAAGAGATAGTTTGTGCAAGGGTTTGGAAAGCAACATTGCTTTATTAACAGTTCAAATGATTACAAGTTTTCTTTCAGGCAGTTTCCTCTCTGCTTGAACAGCTGAGAGAAACACCAAGCGCTTCATCTCCTGCAGTTGTGTTTCCTTCTCATGCTACTGTAAGATCACTCCCTGCTCAGTTCCAGCAAGTAATTGCATGTTCTTGGCATTGCAAAGGTGAACTTCTCCACTGTGATTCTTTTTTTTTTTTTTTTTTATTAAAGATTTCTTCCATTTTTAATGGAGAAATAACTTTTTGAGTAGGAGGCTTGATAAGGCAAGGAGTTCATAGCTTTACCTGGAAGACCAAAATTGTTCTATGCTTCTTGAGGGATTATTAAGAGAAACAGTGTTTAAGTGACTGGTTCTCAGAGTGCTTAAATATCTTTAAATTTTGTCTCTGGTGTCACTGAGAGTTAATGCTGCCTAGTGTCTGAAGTGCCTGAGTTGTTCCTGTAGATAGGACTTGGTTACTTAAATCATTCTGGTGCTTTGGGAAATATTGTACTCTGCTTGTTTGCCAGTTGCATAGGGAGGGTTGTTTGGTTGCAGATGCTTTGTGTAGGCTATTACTCAAAATATGAACATTAGGAAGTGTAGGCTCCTGCCAGATTTCTCTTAACATTTTTTATTTAGTGCAGAGCAGATTGAGGTTCAACATTTTGTTCTTGATGGAAGGCCCTGTCCCTCAGTGTGCTCTTGTGGTACAGCAGTCAAATCCCACATACAGTACTATATCCTGCAGAGAAATCTGCAAACCTTTCATTTAGTATGTAATAGGTTTTATAGCCAGTTCTGCAGAGCCTTTTTCCATGCAGAAGGATTTTCAGCTATTTTTTCTGCTGTCTTAGTAAGATTTGCCAAGGTTCTTTCTACAAGTGCCAGATGATGTACACAAAACAGGAAATTATATACTGTTCTCTTGCTTACTGAGCAGGAGAGAAGAATTTGCTTTTAAAACCTAGCTGGGAGAGGTTGCTGGAAATGCCAAGTTTAGAGAGGCAGATCAAGTGTGGGAGATGAGGAGACAAGACAAAACTTGCCTGAATACGACAATGAATGCTA